AAAAACTCTCAAAAGAGACAACAAAAATGATCACTCAAGGGTGCTTTAATTTTCGGCCATCCTACCCTATTTATAGGCTATGAATTTCGGCCAAGCACCAAAAAAGAAGACCAACTAGGACTCTCTAATCTTATCTCACGCAGGAGTAGAAGTAGAAGAATATTTGATCTCTTTGACTCTATCTAAAATCTAGGAAACCTTATCTAAATGACTTATCCGCAAATAGGATAATACTTAGAAGGAATTTAAGACTCCTAATCAAAACACTCTAGTTTAATTCAGTCCACATGACTTATTTAACTAGATAAATTCGAAAATAAACTCCTAGACTAGATAATACACTAATTCTCGAAAATCAGCTCCAAATATTGGAGTAAAATGTCTTGGACGCCCTTCCAAAAGTGGAATATTGGTCTTGCGCCCCTTAAGTTGTAAATAACTCCAATTTACTCCAAAACTTGTAGAATTCTCTTTATTGACTCCAAAAGATTGGGAAAACACTTGAAACAATTGAGATAGTTTGCAACCTATCCAATTGTGTAGCAATGGACTCAATCTTGAACACTGATCAAATAGGCCGTCCATTCATGAACCTAAATGATTCTTCTCTTTAGCTTGATCAATGATCTTCATGGATCACCTAGAGTCAAACTCCCTTGATACTGTTGAGCACTTATTTCCATGAGTGAATCATCTCCTTTGGTTTGAACCCCAAAGTTAATGACATTCTCATCATCTTGATCATAGTTCTCTTGAACCAACTCCCTATCACATAGGTAGTCAAGACCCATCCTTTCTTCCTTGATTGGCCTGCAAAATAAACTTGGCATTCCAAAACTAGAATGAAGGACTAGCTCATTCCCCTCACTAGGAAAATATCCATGGAAGGCTACATGATTCTCATCAGTGAAGGATGCTGCCGGAAAATCAAGATGAACGTCTTTAAATTAAGAATTATCTTATAATTAATGTGTATTGGATATATTCCTTTTTTAAATATTGATTATGTGTTGTGATAGGAATCAAATATTCAGAAATTAAACTTGGAAATAATCGGATGTTATCCAATTTCGCGTGAATATATTCCTTTTTTAAATGATGATTATGTGTTGTGATAGGAATCAAACTTCAAAACATACAGAAATTAAACTTGGAAATAATCGGATGTCATCCAATTTCGCGTTTGATGTCGATAACTAACACCCTAATTGTCCGGATTTTGTTTTTTCACATCTTATCCTGTCAAGCAGCCCAAACGTATGCCGAAAGAACTTTTGGTCCTTGATTCCGAACAAACCCTAAACCGTTGAACCACGAAGAGCGGCGACATAATGCTGAACAAAAATCTCAATCAGGAAGAGCGGCAACAAATCGCAAAATTTATCAACAAAGGTATAATTTGTGTGATATGAACAACAGAATAAGCAGCGGGGGCGATTCAATTAACATTGAATATGAGGAATCGGCATAAGCAGCGTCGTCAAATATTAACGGATTTTTAGTACGGAAGAGAATATCGGCAAATGAAGCTAATGCACTGACGATGAAGTTCGATATGCGAATATATCATACTCATCAAGGTTACGGAGTTATTTGGCGAATCTCTTCTGATCAAAATGGATAGCAGTACCATCGGAGTTGAGTCACGGTTAAAGTGGGATTTTGAGCCAGTATTGTGATCGGCCGTCAAAGCAGCCGGATTGAAACCAGGCATCCACCGGGAAACTTTATGTCGTTTGATGTTTTTTTTATCCCGGTAATAAATCAGTAATTGTATTAAGTAAATATAAGATGAAAAAAGAAAGTTTAATGGGATATAAGTAAAAAGTAAATTACTTGTAAAAGTAACATTAGATATTTACTATAAATTTTTACCGCAAAACCTATTAGTATCCTAATCAAGCGACACATGTCCCAAGGAAGAAATTCTTTCATATATATCTAAGATTACTTTTTTTAAAAAAAAAATCTCTAGTGGACCCCACTTAAATGTGACTAAAATTTTCCTTAAATACCTCTTAATGGGGATTGAATCCGGATATAATACCAGGAAGCACAACATCTTAACCACCATACTGTTATTCAATTCTCACAATAGTACTTAATTAATAACGCATATATGCCTATAAATATGACATCTACCCTTTACTTTGTAATCAGTAAATCACAATTTAGTTTTAAGAGATTATTCCCATTCAATGTCTGTCTTTTATTTATTTTCTTAAAATTAATTTTTGCTTAGTATCCGAGCATGTTCAGTCCTCCTTTTATTTTATTTTTTTACTTTCAGAAAATAAATCACGAGTTCTTGATCCAATGTCTATGTTCATTTTGCAAATATTAGCAACTATGGCTTGTTTAATCATCCTAAATTACTACCATGACTTCCTCCTCTACTACTAATCCTATATTCCAGTTCGATTCCCCTAAAGATCTTCACAGTTAATCCATAAATTTCTCACAAATCAACTTCATTGAACCACAATTTCTCACAAATCATAATTTAGTTGATCCGCAACTTTTATAACTTACAAAGAGGAAGACACCTCGAGTTAATCCACAAAAATTGTCATCATGGTAAAAGTTTAATTGTCTTTCAGAAGAATAGTTTTGACTTGTCATAAAAGAGTCTAATAACACAACAAGAATTTCAAGAAAACAGTCTAAAATATAGTCGAAACCACTCAAGATTGGGAACCGATAGTGGTCAACAAGAGATTAGTGGTGGCAGCAACGAGAAACCTGGATACCCATGAGTCGGAGTTTGCAACTTACAGCCTGATTTCATCAGTTTTTTAAGGCATAAGATCCTGAAAAATGGCATCAATTACAAATCACAATTAAAAACTTAGGTTATGCGACAGTTATAGCTCCTAGGTACACCTTGCAAGGTGTACCTAGTTTAAAATTCACGCGCCCAAAAAGAGGGTAAGAAAAAAAGATTTTTCAAATTTTCAATTTCCTAATATCTCTCCTAATTTTCAGTCATCATTAATCATATACATCAAACTTCCTATTCCAATCTAAAGACATCTCAAACTAAAAAATCTAAAAAACAAAATATTCTCTGCAGCGATTTGGCATCAAAACCTCTCGTCGGCGGTATTTTTGAAGACGAAATCCGATTGTGCATCAAATCCTGTGAGTTTGGTTGTAATATACGCTGCTGAATATGAGAATTACGGTAAGATTTGAGATTATTTATCTGTTTTATGTTCTGTCCGGTGAATTTTGGAAAAGATTAATAAATCTAAGTGTTGTTCATCAGTTTAATAGATCTGTTTTGTGTTTTGTCCGGTGGCAAAGATTTGAGATTATTCCCGTCGATTAGTTTTGATCGAAATGTGGTTGAATTTGGAAAAGATTAATAGATCTAGGTGCTCTTCATCAGTTTAATATAATTATTCATCTTTAAAACATGTTAGTTCGTCGATGTTCTAGTCTTGTTCATCGCTTTATGGTTGATTTCAGAAAATATTCATAGATCTGGCATTATTCATCATCTCGGTATCATTATTCATCATCAATGTGTGGTTGTTTTAGTCATGTTTTCTTCTTCTGTGAAATATTTATTCATCATTTATCATCAATTAATGATGTTAGTTCATCAATTTCTTAGTTTTGTTCATCTCTGTGATTGATTTTGGAAAAGATTTATAAATCTAGGCTTTGTTCATCAGTTTAATATCATTATTCATCTTTAAAACATATTAGTCCATCGATGTTTTAGTCTTGTTCATTGATTTGTGGTTGATTTTGGAAATCAGATTTTGAAATCATTATCTATTTCTGGCGGTTATTCATCATCTCGATATCATTATTCATCATCAATTTTGGGTTGTTTTAGTAATGTTTTCTTCTTCTGTGAAATGTTTATTCATCATCTATTTCTAGTTATTCATTATTTTCGCTTAGTTATTCATTCTAATTGTGATACAAACTACAAATGATGTTGTTCATCATGTAATATGTGATTGTACACAATTGTAAATATGTGTCATTAATCCTGTAAAATAGTGTTATTCATCCTGTCAATATATGTCATTCATTATTTGAACATGTGTTATTCATTCCGTAGATATGTGTATTCATCATACAAATGTATGCCATTCATCACCAGTTATGTTGTTATTTATCATGTAATATGTACCGTACACGATTATCATCAACTGGATTCGATTTATGTAATTTTAATGTTTATTCATCATTTTCAAAATGATTATTCATCTTCAATAGCATTGTTATTGATGATTAACAGAGTTTTGATTAATATGAAATCTCACTTATTGTAATGTTCTTTTGTTTGATCAACAGCAAAGAAATGTTCATCAAGATGAACTCGGTCAGTCGGAAATTAAATACTTGGCAGGGTTGCTGAAATCAAACAATCAACATATAGGTGTTGAGCATCAGCGAATCATTCAAGACCGTATATGTTAAAAACAATAACTAGTGTTATTAATAATGTAAAATAGTGTTATTCATCTTGTAAATATATGTCATTCATCGTTTGAACATGTGTTATTCATTCCACATGTATGTGTATTCATCATGCAAATATATATCTATTCTTCATTTTATTATTGTTATTCATCTTGGATGGGATCATTATCCATCAACATTTGCTTCGTTATTAATCTTTGTAGATATCTATATTCTTTTCAAAATTTTAAATTTATTTATCAATAACTTTGTCACTATAAGAATACCATTATCCATCCACAATATTATCATTATTCATCGATAAGAATATTATTATTCATCCGAACAAACATCGTTATCTATTAAAATCTTACATTTGACGCTTAATTCTCTAGATTTCATTGATAATCAATTCAAATTTTTTGTTTCAATTGATTTTTGGATAATAAGTCTCGTTGATGAATCATATTCAATTTTACGCAAATAAAATCCGTAGCTATAAAAAAAATTTCTCATAATAATAATAATATAAAAGATAACATGATAAATAAAAAAAAACAGTTTAAAATTAAATATGTGAAAAAAATGGAATGAGAATTGTAAGATTTAATGCGCGTATAACTAAAATTTTAAAAAAAAATAAATCAACTTGGTCTATTACACATGCCCATAAAATACACCTTGTAAAATATACCTAAGTACTTGTTATTATTCGCCGATACTTTACTTATCCTCTACTGTTCATGTTCACCCTTCAATTTTTATTTCCAGAGGATTCGGAGCTGACAGTGCTATCCACGCTTTTAACTATAGGCAAACCCTTCCCAATTATTCCTTTTTTTTCTCTTCACCAAGAAAATAGAAGCAAAGAGAAAAAAAAGACCACATAGGATCAAGAACAAAAAGAAATTAATAAAAACATTGCTTTTTCTCGTGGTTGATGAGCTAGATCTTCACTACTAGATTTCACAACAGTTACATCGTCAAAATATTTCTATATCATAAAATAATCTTAAAACACTATGTTATAGCAATTGAAAACAAGCCTAAAGCTTTAAAATCCCAACAATCAAAAACATGGGATTACAAATAAAGCATGGAACTGGAACCCAACATAGTTGTGGGGCGGGGCATTGTATCGTAAGTGAATGCAAAACTTGAAACTTTCACCCGCCCAACAGGGAACTAACAGCTGCCATGCCAACCCATTAAAGATTTCGAATCAAAGTCCCAAACAAAGACAGATTGTGAAACAATATATAGCTGCCATCACATCTGAACTTCGTGGAATCTCTCCAATACAGCCACAATGGCGGGACTTCACTTCCTGCTTTTGCTTTCTTCTTTCTCTCTCTCCCGTTTCTTGTAAAGTCTCTCAAGGACACGCTTCGCCTCACAATTTGGGAAGTTTGTCAAATCGTAATAATGAGGAGCTATGTCTACCAACCTACAATATAAAGAAATTTGGGAAGTTTGTCAAATCGTAATAATGAGGAGCTATGCCTACCAACCTATAATATAAAGAAACCAAAAAATCAGGTCTGACAAGAATTTAAACTCAGCTACTGCTCCTAAGAAAACAAGTAATTGCCAAATATGAAACATCCAGGTCAGAGTAGCAAAGAAACAACAGAGAAGTCAAAAAGGACCCGGCAAACCATACGGATACATGGCCGTGATAACAGCAACAGGCACACTTTCAATCAACTTTGTCAAAGATAGAACTCACAAACTACTACAACAACTACGGGGTGAAATGTAAGTGAAGAATGGTGAAAGAAAGACATCTGGGAAAGTATTCATGAGCACATTCCATCGGAAAAAAAGGAAAGCACATGATATCCAATGGTCAACTAGAAATCAATCTCACTTCTCAAAATCATTCAACCATCTTGAACTACTTACATGACCAAATTCATTCAACCAACAAAGACAAATCATCCGGGGAGGCCAACCATCTAGAGGACATATATCTATGACAAGTTAATGAGATCGACTGCTAGATACAGAAACAAAAGGTTAGAAAAGCATATAGATGAATGCACAGAATAAATCCAACCGAGAATGTTCTTAACAGTTAACGGGGCCCCCACCTCAAACCAGGGAAACTAGGAGGCATGTGGTTAACAAGAAGCACAAGGTCATCACGTTTAACAAAATGGGATGAAACAAGTCATGATAAATTTGACATAATAACCACCTCAATTCCACAGAACAAATTATAAATCAAGAATACTGCCGAACTTATTGGGTAAAAAGTGCCACCTTGAAAGTTCGACTACAAAAATAATAAAAAAATAGATACTAAACAAAAGATAAACACAGAAGACTAACCATTCTCCGCGGACATCAGTGACTGTTCGGATAAAATTCCTACTAGTCAATACATATTCATTGTAAATAACCCATTCTGGTTTGTGATCAAGGCAGTTCGAAGGATGCAAATGCACCACCTGCACATGGAAAACACAATCAAAATCAGTGAAAGGGTTAACATGATTCAGTTAGGTCTACATGTAGTTTATCGTAATAACTAAGTTGCACGGAATAGGGCGTCTATTTCGTCTTCTATTTCACTTTTAGAACACTTACTTGATTATCTTTCACGGTCAAGTAGTGCCCAGTACGCTCCAAGTGAGCCACCTGCATAAAATAACCAGCCAACATAGCCTTTCTGATATTGCCATAGTAGTCACGACTGTTGAAGTCTGTACTGCATAACTTCAGGTTGAACCTGGCCATAATTCGCGCTAGCTGTTGTCTCACATTATCTGCTGATTTAAGTGCTCTGTGATTGATGAAATTTTCATAACACCATTGTGGATCATCCTCTGATGTGCAACCAAACACAAAAAGAAATACCAAAACAGAATTTGTGTTAGCATAGCCTCATAAGCATATTCCCCATTAATGAGAAAGTGGAATAATATCAATACTCACTGTTTTGCTTGTATGCATGGTATACATTCAATAATGTGAGATGATCCCCATCAATGTGACCAAAACGACTCTTTGCTTCATCAGCAGCTTTTTGCGCCTCCCTAGGCCGGACAAAGCAATTTGGTACTAGAGAAATAATTGGTTATCACAGAGGAGGTCCACGGAAGGTCAGCAGATGCATAGAGGCGAGACGACACCATTTTCTTCATAAGAGAATACTGAGAAACTGAAACTATCTACATCAGCACTAACTTACGAATCCTATGGTTCATGCCCACAAGGGCATGGAACCCAGACAAGACAGTGGCTGATGACGACCTAAGCAGACACATGCACCTAACTGCATAGCACTTGGACAGATGCAGCTAGATGCAATACAATCATATGCATAGAACTACATCAATTGCACATGGCTAATAGGAGTGTTCGAAATCTCCAGAGAAAGAGGAACAACACATCAAGGATCTACTATCCAGTAGAAACATGACCAAATCCAGACCAAATTAAAATACAAGAAACCAAGAAACCAACATACCTGAAAGCATAGCACATATTGAAAGAATTTCATTGGAGCAATTGAATCCTGGGCTGACCACGAGCATTTTTGACATCTGCGGGTCCAAGGGAAATTCACTCATAGTCTCGCCCACCTTTGTCAGGTTTCCCTCATCGTCCAGGGCACCCAAGTAATTTAATACTTCCAAAGCTCTCATTAATGTCTCTGGAGCAGGAGGATCCATAAAATCAAAATGGACCAAGTCGTCTATACCAAGTTTCTTCAAAGTAAGAACCGTGTTGGCCAAGTTTGAGCGCAGTATCTCCGGATATGTTTGTGGCTGGAGGTCTGTGTTAAAACTTTTCTCGGTATAGAGCCTAAAACATTTACCAGGCTGTGTTCTTCCAGCACGACCAGAACGCTGGTGAGCACTAGCTTTTGATATTGGAGAAACCAATAAAGACTCCACGCGAACTCGAGGATTGTACACTTTCTGCTTTGAAAAACCCGGATCTATAACATAAACTATTCCATCAATGGTCAACGAGGTTTCTGCAATATTTGTTGAGACGACAATTTTCCTACCAGCTGGACCACCTTCCACCAACGGGGCTGGAGCAGGTTCAAAAATTTTCTGCTGCATGGCTGGAGGTAGTGTGGAGTATAAAGGCACAACTTTAACAGGCCCCACTTGATCTCCTAAATTACCAATCTCCTTCGCAATCTTTTTACATGCATCCTCAATCTCTTCTTCTCCAGTAAGAAAAACAAGTATATCACCAGGAGGTTCACACATATGTATCTGCACAACAGTTCGAATAGCAGCCTCGAGATAATCCCTCTCAGGCTCCTGAGTGTAAAAAATTTCTACCGGGTGAAGTCTCCCAGGGACTTTCATGAGTGGTGCACCATTAAAATAGCTTTGGAACTTTTCAGCTTCAAGAGTGGCACTCATAACAACCAGCTTTAGATCAGGTCTATTTTTCAGCACTTCCTTAAGTAACCCAAACAGCACATCAGTAGCCAGAGTTCGCTCATGAGCTTCATCAAGAATTATTACTTTGTATCTTTCCAGAAGTGGGTCTGTCATAGCTTCCCTTAGAAGCATACCATCTGTTAAATATCTACACAAGAAAACAGCAAAGCAAAAGAAATCAGCATATCGAAATAGAAATGTGTTAATAATAGTTCCAGCCGAAGCATTAGCTGGTGCAGCAAAAAACAACATTTGATAACATACTTTAACACCGTTCTTGCACTACTGCAATCCTCAAAACGAATACTGTAACCAACTTCCTCTCCTATATTGACATCCATTTCCTCAGCAACTCGTCGAGAAACCGACATTGCAGCAACTCTTCGAGGCTGTGTGCACGCAACCATGAACTTCCTTCGTTTATCAGGGGTTTCTAATTCAATAGATTCCAATACAAACTGAGGAATCTGTAAAACAAATGAAAACCATTGTTAATGTATGAACAAACAACAAAAGAGCCAATTTTATAAAATAAAATGAGTGCATGACATCTAAAAAAGGAAATTTATAAGGAAAAAACAGACAAGGCATCTGAATTTTAAACTAGTTCATTGTTCCTTCGCATCCCGATCCCAAACCAAAAGAAAAGAAAAACAAAAAAGAAAAAAACTTAATCCCCCAGGTCTTCAGAAGCTTGCGCGTCTATAGAAATCAGAGTTTCATAGAACCACGTTTGCTACCTTAAGTGCGTCTATAAAATCTTCTAGTTACTTAGAACTGCTTTGCTAGCTTAAAGAGGTAAGTGAGGGTTCCCCAAGCGCAACAAAAGCAATACACAAATCAACAGAAATGCCAACTATGCAAGGCTGAAAACCAACAACTAACCATCTTGTTCAGTCCGCAGTTAATAGAAACAGCAGACAACAGCAAAAGGGCTAAAATAGAGCAAATTTTCAACAATTAGGCAACGCTAAAGCAGTATAAGAAACACAATAGAGGCCGAACAATCAATTTAGACACAGAAAACCAAAACTTATAAGGAAAATGACAAAAAAACAAACCTGAGTTGTTTTACCGCTGCCAGTTTCACCAACCAAGATTAAGGTTTGGTTCTCTTTCAACACCTGCAAGAACTCCTCTTTCTGCTGCCAAACAGGAAGAGTGGCCCTCTTCTCAAGAATCTCATAATACCTCGCAGAGTAAGGCCGACCATTCCACCGGTTGATAGTCGACATCACCCCGGCGTTGCCGTTGGTCTTAGAAACCTTCGCCGTCGCAGCCGCCACCGACGAATCGTCAACCACGTCGAACAAACTCACTTTCCGCTTCCTCTCCGTCCCCATTTCAGGTCCGCCGAAATTCCTCCAAAACCCTAGCTCCTTAATTTTTTAAAAAATTTTACTTACCGGAGCATTCCAGAAGGATTACAAAGTGCAATCGGGAGTTCTTTTATAAGGGTTTTCACCTGGGCCCGCGGATAGTCCGCGGCTCGATTTTGTAACCGACATCTAATGGATAATAACTCACCCATTGTTATATTGGGCTCCAGGCCCATGGCACAAAGTTGTGGTTGTCTCTCTTTGAATAGAAACAAATTTTGGGATTATTGGAGGAAACGTAAAACAGCATACTGTACTAGGAGTCCGTATCCAGTGCACCCGGATGTACCGTATACCCCCCACCAAACACACGCGCACCACGTCCTCAACTGTTTTTACCTTTACATTAAATGTACACAGAAAGTTATTTTCATCAATTTCATCCTCATGCATAAACACACACAAACACACAGTCGACGGAAACTCTCCAATTTAGGGCAAACTCACACACACACACAGACGACGGCGAGAAACCCTATGTCCGGCCATCTCAAGCTCTCCTTCATCTATACATGCTTGAATGGTAAGTATATTACTCCGGGATCCTATTTTTTTGATTATCCAACAATATCTTGTGTGTATCCACTAGATGTGAACTATTTATCCATGGTTTCCTGCGTATGCTATGTGATCGTTGTCCATGCCATAATCTCTTGTTATCCATCTATATCATACTGACATTTGTTATCCACCTATTTCATTCTGGTTATCCACAAGTTGTAGAGTGGTTATCCAGAAGTTGTAAAGTGGTTATCCACAAGTTGTAAACTAGTTAACCATGCTTGTTTTACATTTTATTCTATGTGGCATGGACAAACAGAACTGGTTATCCATGTTTTTGTTTTTTTTTTTTACTGGTTTAGGGTTTAGGGTTTAGGGGTGCTTGTCCAAACTTTGTTTTTGGTTATCCATCCATTACATATTTGTTATCCGCATGCTGTAAACTGGTTATCCATTTTTTTTTAGATGTGCTTTTATGTGGCTACGTCCATACATTATTTGCTGGTTATCCAACCATTTCATACTGGTTATCCACAAGTGGTAAACTGGTTATCCACAAGTTGTGAACTGGTTATCCATGCTTTTTTAACATTTGATTTTATGTGGTGCTTGTCCAAACTTTGTTTCTGGTTATCCACCCATTTTAACTTGGTTATCCGCAGTGAGTAAACTGGTTATCCATTGTTTTTTTTTTAGATGTGCTTTTATCTGGTTACATGTCCATACATTATTTGCTGGTTATCCACCCATTTCATACTGGTTACTCCTTTTTTGATTACTACTCATTTTCATATCCTACTATTTTGTCCACTGACTTCTTACTGATTGTGCAATGCCAACAGTGCCCTAAAGGAGTTTAGAACAAAATATAGGCACGAGTGGATCAGCGCAAGCCACAACCTCAACTGCAACCCAGACAGATCACCGGATCCTGAACCAGAGAAAATAATGGAGCTCCCTGAAGGAACACTGACCATATATAAAAAACAAAAATCAACCCAAGAAGAACAAGAAGAACAGTCCCCTGTACGAACTCCAAGGACCCAAAACTTGTGGAGAAAACCAAAGAGGAAGAAGAGCACACCGACAGGAAATCCAAAGCAACTTGTGGTTACTGATGACAACGATGATAAAAAGCCCAAAAAGAAAAGAATGAAACCTGAGAACAACAAACTGATAATTGGTCAAGATCCACGGCCAATCAGTTCTGAAGATTCTGTCAAGAAATTTGAGACAAGGATGACACTGAACCATCTCTTCCAACTCATCACTGAAATCAATAAACCAACAGATCTTACAAAAGAGCCAGATGCGGTAGATTATCGCCAACTACAAAGGCAGGCTATCAGAGATATGGGATTTGGAGCCTTGCTGGATCTCAAAATCAAAAATATTCCAACGGCCTTGTGTAATTTTCTGGCAAGCAATTTCCAGACCGATGCAAGACAAGTCCCATTGAATGGGAACAATGTACTGGATATCAAACAGGAAGATGTTGTTGCTGTACTTGATCTTCCCCGTGGACCCAAACCAGTGGAAGAATTCAAACAGAATGATCCCGCTATAACGGACCACGCTGAGATGGTGGATGCGTTCAAGAAAAGAATGGGATACAGTAATAAATTCCTGCCAACGAGATCCACCGCGGCACAATTAATTGCTGGTCGAAAAGATTTTGGTGATGACTTCAAACGAGATTTCCTCGTCTTTGTTCTGAGCACATTCCTACATGGAAACACAACTTCCAGGATTACAATGAACATCCTGAAGTCCCTCGTGAACATCAATGAAGTGACACAATACAATTGGTGTCAATATGTGATTGATGCACTGGTGAAAGGATGCAAAAGTCACCACGATGGGAAACCATTCACCGAACCAATCACTTTTTTCCTGGTACTTACCATATCCGTACAAATTTTTTTGTACTGCTTGTACTGATATCATTAACACCAACTTTTTTTTTCTTTTTTTTTTCTTTTTTTTTTGTTAGTTGTGCTACCTTGACAGGTGTGAGTATGAAAGAGCACATCCGAGGTCATTCCCTGTGATCAAATCTTGGGATCAAAAGATGCTGGACGACAGAATAAGACTTCAAGGAAGCAATTTCACAGATGTCCAGACACTTGAACGTCTCAAGAAACCGTCCTCAGCAGCATCCTGAGATGAACAACCAGAGGCTGAATCACCGAAGGAGGATACACAGGGAAATCCCAACACACAGCAAGTCTATGTACTGTTCTACCATTTTTTTTCAGATCAAACTTACGTATCCAACCTAGCATCTCCACATTCCACTAACTACATTCAATTTTGCAGGACCTTGCCGCTCTTTATGAAAAATTCTACCAATTGATTATCACGATGAGCAAAACTGTTTTAGACATTCGTGAGAAGGAAATGGAGTTAAGAATCGAACCAGATGAACAAGCAAAGCAAACAATCAAGATCCTATCAGATGCAATGGTGTCGATGAGTAGAAAGATGCCTCCGCCTTCAGGTACAACGTAACTGGAACAAGAGCAGCAGCAACACCAGCAAGACCTCAAGGATGCACAGATTTGTGAATTGTGCGAGATGGCATGGAAGTCCGCTGAAAGCAGATTTGCAACAATCATATAACAGCTGCAACGACAAGTAGCTAACCAACAAGAACAACAGCAACACCAACAAACTGATGACAACACTGTAGAAGCTCCAATTAATCTCGCAAAATTTCAAGACATTGAAATTGACAAAGCACAGGGACTGGAGCAATTGAGCCAGACAAATGATGCGGCTTCTATTGCAGTGGGGAAATCTGTGCCTACTTCAAAAGAAGTGGTGGTTGATGAACCACAAACTCAACTACAAGGGGCACATGGACTGGATCAATTGAGCCAGACAAATGATGAGAATTCTCTTCCAATGGGGAAATCCGTGCCTACTTCAAAAAAAGTGCTGGTTGATGAAAAACAAACTCAACCACAAGGTAATGAAACAAATACTTGTCTGATGTGATTGTACTTGTCATCCAACTAATTTGTACTGCTTATCCAACCCCTTTTTATCCCTTTAGATGGTTATCCATTGTGTTCCGACTGATTATCCATCCTATTTGAACTGATTATCCAATTCATTGAACTGGTTATCCAATCTGTCCAATTTGTAATGCTTATCCAACCCCTTTTTATCCCTTTAGATGGTTATCCATTGTGTTCTGCTGATTATCCATCCTATTTGAACTGATTATCCACTTCATTTAAATTGGTTATCCAATCTGTCTAATTTGTACTGCTTATCCAACCCCTTTTTATCCCTTCAGATGGTTATGCATTGTGTTCCTGCTGATTATCCATCCTATTTGAACTAATTATCCACTTCCTTTGAACTGGTTATCCAATGTGTCTAATATATATGTACCTTCGTACTGATTATCCAACATTTCAACTTTGTACTACAGAACATGCAACGAATGTCTCCACGACAGAAAAGAAGAGATCCCATCAAGATTCCACCGGGCGGGATTCAGCTATGACATCCACCTATACCAAAAGGTCGAGAAGCACTGGTACCAGGAAAAGGAAAGCATTGAAAGACACAAGTATCCCAAGCTTTAACCTGGGTATCTTCTCCAGTCAGGAAGACAGTTACGAGACAACCCAGGAGAAGAACACTCAGGAAGATGTCACAGTAAGGGTTAATCTGGATAAAGATGTGAATGAAACTATAGAAGCAGAAGAATTTTTGTCCAGAAAAACTAGAGATCATTGCGGCTGTTGCAGAACAAGTTGAGAAAAACCCAGAGGTGGTTGAAGCAGTCCCTTTGAGCATAATTCCACCCGATTGGAATGTTGCTTCTACCACGGGTCGTCTACTCATGGTGGACAAAAATGAGTGTACCACGCCACCGCCTGCAATCTCAAATAAAGTTGAAGTACTTGATGAAGGGTTAACAAAGACAGTGGAAAAGTGAGTTTGATCCACTGTAAATGCTCACAACAAACTAGAAAGACGAATTTACATACTAACTCTCTTTTGTTTTGTCCTAGGATCCTCAATCAAAAACCTAGGAGGAGAAATCCACCAAGAATCCACCGGTTGCCCGAACGGTTCAAGTCGCCGTTCATGCTGCAGAAGAAAAACAAGAAAAAATTCATACAGTTGACAGAGGAGAAGAAGAAAATGACCGAAGAAGAAGCCCTGTTGATAGACTTCGCTCTCTTGCAGAGACAAGAAGAAATAGTTAAATCAGGGTAAAAACCACCATCCTTACCCGTGCGATAAAAAACTTACCAGTTTTCCAACTATTTGTCTATTTGACTACTTTTTCTATACAGGAATTTCTTGTTTGAATTTGGAAAAATTGTTTGGGCAGACAGGACAGCATTCTATTCCATGAGGGAAGGCACATGGATAGAAAATAGCATCATAGATGCTTACGCTGTCATCCTAAATAAAGAAGAAGCTAAAAGTGACTCCCCAAGTCGGATATTCTTTGGTGTTTCCGTATTTGTAAGTCAACTAAACCGTTATTGTTTATCCACTCCTGGTAAAATACTTGTCACATGTCTGCAAGTTGTTTATCCAAAGGCTTTCCACTAGTTATCCAACCATAACGGGTGGTTATCCACTTATGGTAAACTAGTTATCCAGCCATAATTGCTGGTTATCCACATTCTATAAACTAGTTATCCATGCCATTTTTTTAGTTGTGCTTCTATGCGGCTGCTTGTCCATACATTATTTTGCTGGTTATCCATCATTGTTGTATAACTGACCTACTTATAAGTAATCATCAGGAAGATCATGCATGACCACTAACACTTATTATCCAGTTTGTTACTAATGCTTGTCCATCAGAGTTCAACTGGTTATCCATTCATTCTTGTTTGTCATCTAGGGTACTTTTGGTTGATCTTGTATGTGCTTGATTCCGATCATTGTTTTCTACTGCATTTTCCAACCATTGTACTGATCATTGTATCATTTTCCAACCATCTTAAACCATAACGCATGATACAATCAGTCGCTACTATCAACAGGGTAGTAACAAAGAGGAAATCGAGTTCACGTTCTATGAGAGGTTGGCTCTTGAACTAGAAGAACAAGGACTCCGTGTAGGATCCCTGATAGTGGCAAAAGCTGTAAGCAACATCTTTCACCTCCTTCACTCTTTCTATAACTGGCTGTTAAAAAATTTTCTTATGATTTCCCCTTTCAATGTGAAAATTCAGATCTACTTCCCAGTACACTACCGAGAGCATTACTTCTTGTACGTGTTGCTGGTTCAAGAAAAGAAAGTCCTTGCATTCAACAATCTTCATGCAAAAGATCTGGACTACTACAAGCCAACAAAAGATCTACCTGTGAGTGAAAAAAAGATACAAAATGATTGTCATACTTTAAGAATTATCCATTGCATTTTGCTGATCCTTGGATTTTATGGCATCACAGTTTCAGTTCTTTAAAATGTACCTTCAATGTGTGTTTCCAAACATAGAACTGGTCACTACTCAGTACACCTTCACAGAGGTTACGCTACTATCGCACAACGACAAAAAGCCGAATGCGGAAGATTGTGGAATATTCACAATGCACCACATGGAGAAGTATGATGGTGGTAACTACGAGGACGGTACTACTTTGGATTTCCACACAGGAAACATCAAAGAGTACCGGTGGAGATACATGTTAAAAATCCTTATGCACCCATCCAACAAAAATAAGGACAAAATCCTCGAAGCTATGCACCAGTTCTACAAAAATACTGCTGAAGAAGAACCAAAAGAAATTCCAGATCATGTTGATTTGAGCAGCAAATCTTACTACAATGACAAAAAAATTCAGGGATGGGTTAAATGAACTGTCATTATCTTGTCTTGTATAATTGATTGACTGTTGTAGTCCAGATCATTTTGTAATGGTTATCCAGGATCTTTCTACTAGTTATCTAGCTTCAATATTTCTTTACTGATTATCCAATGCTTTGAATTGATTATCCAGGACTTTTGTACTGGTTATCCAGCCAATGTGCAGCAATATCCAACCGTTTGTAGTGGTTATCCATTATCATTGTACCAGTTATCCATCTTGTTAAACCTGATTATCCGAATGTTTTATAGTGATTATCCAGTCAAAAAAAATGCAAGTACAGTCTTTAACCTGATTATACATGAGATTATACTTCTTATCCAAAAAATCAATACTGCTTATCCATATGTAACAAAAGTTTTATACTGATTATCCAGTCAAAAAAAATGCAAGTACATTCTTTAACCTGATTATCCATGAGATTATACTTGTTATCCAAAACCTCAATACTGCAATCCAAACGGCATATTCATTGGGGGGCTTCGCTCCCCATGATAAACTAAACGACTCCCGCGGCTACCGGAATCGCAGGTCACCAACCTGCCCCGGCTGCCGCCCCGCCGAACACGCCAATGTAGCTAAGGTAATCCTTTTTTCGTGTGTGTGTAAGGAGAGTGTGTTATTGCGTTAAAAGGGGACACAAATTAATTGTATAAATCCCCCCGTGATAAACTAAACGACCCGACTGCGCCGGTGCCCGCGGCTGCGCCGCCCACATGCCGAACAAGGCAAATTTCATAAATAGTGTTTAAAAAAATGAATGAGGGGAAGTTTGCTAAATGATGGAGAACAAAAAATGAATGAGGGGCAGGCCGTCTGACTTAACTAGCGGGCCAAACCCGACCCGAGAACGCAACCCGCTTCAGAATTCCGCCCAAATTCTGGAAAACCTGTCCCATTAGTGTGCACGTTTTCCAAACGGCGGCCGGGCAATCATAATAATTATCCCTTAGAATCCTTCACCCGAAAACGTCATTCAATCATAATTGAGTGTGTTGGATAATGTAACATTCCTTCAACCATTCACCTGCTCTCTCCCTTTTTATGGGTATAACATTCACTTTGTTTTTATTCTTTATGAAAAAATGCTGGTTATCCATAGTGGTTATCCACAGTAAAATTCACTTTGTTTTTATTCTTTGCTCATTATCCAATGCTCTGAATTAATTATCCAGAACTTTTGTATTGGTTATCTAGGAATTTTGTACTGGTTATCCAGCCAGTTATGTAACTCATTTAAGGATAATCAACACTGGTTATCCACTATGTCCATACTGGTTATCCATAGTGTGGAACATGTTACTGTGTATAACTGAAAACCACACGTTCTGTAATTAAATAGAATTTAAAAGATTGAAGGAGTATAAATAAAAAAAGAAAACTGAAAATGCTCATGTTTGTGCAGAGTACATCCACCATGATCTAATGGGTAGTTACAGAGCCACACGTTTTTACATAACTGTCATTAAATGAGTTTCTTGATCTGCACCTGGGGCTAAAACTCCTTCATCTGCACATACACCAGAACGCCTGATTTGAGCATCCAAAACATCCAATAGCCAGAAAAAAATGAAAAACGAAAAAATTTCCTCAAATTCCACCACCAAACAAAATGTCCCCCAGCTATCATGAGTATATCCATCACGATATGCTTGATAATATTCTCATTAATCTATCATTGGAAAAGATTGGACAGTTCTGTCGTGTCAGCAAAGCTTGGGAGGAAATGACGAAAAGACAGGAATTTGTTCTTAAAAAACGTGAGATGAGCTACTCTGCAAGTGAAAACAACATCCTTGTTTTCACTCAAACAAGCTAAGAAGATCACCTGTTGCAAGACAAACTAATCGCCACCAACATAAAAGTGCAAATGGATAACCCATGCAACCACATACGATTTCAAGAAGAGATGTCGATGGGTGACGACGGCATCCATAAAATCATGCCTATCACCACGATTTGATCCGTCGCAAACCAGCTCTCAAATCAAATTCTTGAACCCAAAGACAACACAACTTGCAACAGTTGAATGGCCATATGATGTCCCTTTCAGCAATTGTGAAACAGCATTTGGGTACGTATCATCCTCAGAAACTTACGTTTTCATGGCCCTAATTGCCGATGGAAAAAACATGCAAGGCTGCATTTTTTCTTTTCAAAGTTGTTCAAGTATTCATAGAGGGGAATGGAAAACACTTTGCAATGTATGTCCTCGCCTTGTATCTGATGGAACCTGGTTTGATAGATTCGCGTACTGGCGTGTAGACAAACTATCCTCTGAAATAGCAACACCTCAAGAGTTGTTGGTTGTGTTTGACTACCACACTCAACAATTCCAAATCATAAACTGCCCTCCATCTCCAACCTTCTTTAACCCCACTTATCCTTCTCATATGAATCTCCAAGTGAAAATATTGGACTTCCAGGGGACTATGTGTGTAATAGATGAGTATGAGATTACTCAGAATCATCACTGTGAGATGTGGGCATGGGATCCAGATACTTCCACATGGGATTGCATATTTGAGACCCATGAATTCCCAAATGTGAACACACACGTTCCACACGGATTACATTTCCGTCATGATTGGCTTTATCCAGTGTTCTTAAGCCACAAATCATCTCCAGCAGGACAGTTCATTGTCAAAGGATACGATAATCGTCATTTGTTGTTGTATAGTGTTCCTACCAGGAAAATCACACACTCAAGTATATCGCCAGATCTAGAAACCAGTTTCATCATTAGAGCATGTTACTTCTGGGAAACATTAACACACTTTTAGGACTTTGTACTGGTTATCTAATGATATTACTGGTTATCCCAGGACTTTGTACTAATTATCCAGATTATCTATGCTGGTTATCCAATGTATTTTGGTTGTCCAAATATTTCTGTAAATTCCCAGAAAACAAAAACTGAGTGTCCCAATTTCTTGGTCTTTCTACTTCTTTATTAAACTGCTTATCCTATGATGTTATCTTGCTTATCCAGGACTTTTGTACTGGTTATCCAGTCAATGTGCAGCAATATCCAACCGTTTGTAATGGTTATCCGTGATCATTGTACCAGTTATCCATCTTGTTAAACCTGATTATCCGAATGTTTTATAGTGATTATCCAGTCAAAAAAAAAATGCAAGTACAGTCTTTAACCTGATTATCCATGAGATTATACTTTTTATCTGTGTTCAACGTGTTCATGTATTTTTTTGTAATATCTATATGCATTTAAAGTTGCATATCCGGTACAGGCGAGTTAGATATCTAGTACAAACGAAATGGATATCCACTACAAACAAAATGGATATCCAGTACAAACAACTTGGATAACCAGTTCAAACTGGTTGGATAATCACCATGAACACAACGGATAACCAATTTAAAATAACCACTTGGATAACCAGTACAAATAAAATGGATAACCAATTAAAACTGGTTATATAATACTGCAATTTAAAATAAATAATACTTTTTAAATAAAAATCTTTACGCCATCAATACTGTTCATTTCAACATCAAGTTAAAATACTAATAAAACATCTTGTTGAAGAAATGCTGCGCTCCAGCCTCCCTGGCAGCTTCCCTTCGGTTAGGAAATGAGAAACCACCAAATTTTTCATTCATGAATGTCATGTTTTGATGAGAAGGATTCATAGCAGCGGAAGTGCTTTTGCCTTGAAACTCCTGGCTAGCTCCTTTGGGAATTGGAAATGAGAATCCACCGGAATTTTGGTTGATGAACGACATGCTTTGCTCAGAAGCATTCACAGAAGTGGAAGCCCATGCCCATGAAAAATGCTGGCCAGCTACGCTTGGATTAGCAAATGAGAATCCACCGGAATTTACGTTCAAAGATGGCACGCTTTGATGGGAAGCATTCACAGCAGCAAAACTTCCTGAGCCTGTAAAATGTTGAGCAGCTCCCTTTGGATAAGGAAATGGCATGCTTTGATAATGCAGGTCTGATGCAACTGAAGCTCTTGTTCGGTCTGCAGTAATTCTTGCATTTGTTTTCCTGCTCTGACTTTGTTACATGCCTTCTCAAGAATGTTTTTAGGACGTTCGTTCCTGGGACCAAACTTCTTCCTCTTTACAGCTGGATTCTTTATAACACCATCATTGTCTACAGAAAAAAATCTTTGCTAAATGCAGGGCACCACATATGCCTCACATCATAAATACCACTGAGCCATTTGTCATCATGACAATCATACTCATCCAATAATCTGTGCACAGCAATATAAAAAACAGCATAAAAAGAAAAATAGTTAGATTATCCATATAGTTATCCAGCCAAGAAAGCCTTTCTACTAGTTATCCAGCCATAACGGGTGGTTATCCAGAGATAATTGCTGGTTATCCACAATGTGTAAACTAGTTATCCAGAATGGCTAAAAACTATTTATCCAACCATAGTTGCTGGTTATCCAGAATCTGTAAACTAGTCATCCGAACATTATGGGTGGTTATCCATAATCTGTAAACTAGTTATCCATGCCTTTTTTTAGTTGTGCTTCTATAATGTACCTACCACACAACGTACCTACCTATAAGTAATCATCAGGAAGATCATGCATGACCACTAACAAACACATACCCACACAACAAAAAAAATAAGAGACACTCTTAATCATGGAAATGATCAAAATAATAATAAAAATATTGTCAAAGTGACCTCCTCCATAATACCTCGAACTCGATTTCTGTTGAAGTGTATTTCATCAGATAATTAAAGTTCTTAACAAAATCTGGCTTGTTCCTTAAATGACCAATTCGCTTTCTTGAATTTTCACCTATGTGCCATACACAGAGACGATGCCGAGAACTTGGAAAACATATCCGAATACTTGCAGCAATGGAAGGTGCTTGATCTGTCATTATGGTTTGTGGCTGTTTATCTCCCATTGATTTCAAAAACTGCTTGAACAACTAATCAAAAGAGGGTTCTTTCTCGTTTAACACAAAACCACAACCAAACATAACATTCTTGT